GGGGGGGACATCAAGTCTGCCTGTAAGAAAAAGCCCGATTACCGAAGACAGCCGCCTCATTTTGCTGGACCGCTGGTTGCGGGGCTTAACCAGGAGCTTGTGCTTAGCTGCAGAATTGTCCAGGCAGGAGGAAAATTCTGGAGGGTAATCGAAATCAGCCACGGGTGCCACGCTGCTGTCGGAGGTGCGGGGGGAGACACTGGCATCGCTCGCGTGCCTGGAGGAGAGCTGGTCTGGAGACTGTGGCCGGGATGAGGATACTAAAGAGATCTTCATGGGAGAAGAAGTAAACACACCAAGCATTAACTTCGTGGTATGAAATGGTCCCACCAGCACATCAACTCCTTTCTTGTATGGTGCTCAGTCTCCTCATACCATCTCTGGGCTTTACATGGAAGGACAGATTTAAAATCTGGCTCTCAACAGGGAGAGTTCCAGGACACCCCCTTAGAAAAGTGTTCCTTAGAAAAGCTGGCAGCTTTAAAAGTTGGGCCAACCCCTAACAACTTACTCATTTCCAAGGCCGTGCAGAGAACCTATGTCCTAGGCACCCTTGATGAGATAACTCTGCCTTCACCTTCCTAAGCAGGTATCTGTGATTCAGACAAGAGCCTCTTTCTCTGGTGAAACAGACCGACCCGATTTCTCTAAGAGCAGCCTTGGTCCTGAGAGGGTGGCCCAAAGGTGTGATTTTACATGCTGGGGCAAAAGATGTGCCAAGCCCACCACCCAGCACCCCATCACGGCAGCTGCATTTCACTCATTCTAGAAGGTTCCTGTATCTTCATGTGTCCTCTTGGAGACATAGGGCTGTAAGTTTCCATCTGTAGTTACAAATATTTTACTAGTTTATACCTCAGCAGGGAGGCACTAAGTCAGGCAAGGGCAAAAGTGTTGTCAGAGAGGAAGGGGATTTGGGGAGTCACGTGGAAGGATGAGTGCAACATGCTGTTACCTGCCCACTGAACTTGGCAAACTCCATGACTGAGTGAGGTCTAAGTGGGTTCTGCCACAAAGACATTTGTCAGCATGAAATAGTGTGTGTGTCGGGGGGGGGGGGTACCCACTGTGCACCCCTGAGCAAACACAGCCCAGATGAGCGAGGAGCAGGGAGAGAATCCGGGAGGTGCTGGGCTTCAGTTACAAATCTACCACCTACTTCCATTCTACTGTGGTGCTCAGTATTAGGGTCAAGTTTACATTTTCCCCCCAATGTTTTTTATTTGCCAAATTTTATATGTTATACACACAACATTTACTATTGTGACCACTTCTAACCACACAGTTCAGTGGCATTAAGTATACTCATGTTGCTGTGCAACCATCTCCAGAGCTTTTACTCTTGTAAAACTGAAACTGCACCCACTCAACAACAATTCACCATCCCCCACTGTCAACTCCTGGCCACCACCACTCTACCTCCTGTCTCTATGAACTTGACTACTCTAGCTACCTCACACTGAGTGGAATCATACCGTATTTGCTTTTTTTGTCTGGCTTATTTCACTTTGCATAATGTCCTTAATGTCCATCCATGTAATAGGATGTGTCAGGCTTTCCTACCTTTACAAAGCTGAATGATATTCCAGTGTATGGAAATACCACATTTTGTGTATCCATTCATCCATCAATGGACACCTGGGCTGCTTACACATTATAGCTGTTGCGAATAATGCTTCTGTGAACATGTGTGTAGAAATACCTCTTCAAGAACTAGCTTTCAATTCTTTCAGGTATCTACCCAGAAGTGGAACTACTGGATCACAGAGTAGCTTTATTTTTCATTTTTTGAAGAACCTCCATGCTGTTTTCTACAGTGGCTGTACCAGTTTGCATTCCCACCAGTGTACAGGGGCTTCAATTTCTCCACATCCTTTCCAACACTTGTTATTTTCTGTTTCTTTGATAGTAGCCATCCTAATGGGTGCTGTGTGTTCTTTGGAACACACATTTTAACTTAAGACCATAATTTTATGCACCTCACAATGATTTAGTAAGCCCCCATGAAAATGGTCTCCTCAGGGGAGGCAGCAAACAAGATGTGGGCAGCAAGTGGACTCACAGGGGTCTGGGTACATCCTGCTCAGCTCTTCCACAGCCCTGGAGCCCCGGACAGAGCAGACTCCAGTAGCCCCTGCTAAACTAGGGGGGCACCAGACGTGTGTCACTATTAGAGAGACAAGCTGAGGCAGGGATTGTCCTGCAAGGGAACTTCCTCAGAGAAACGTATTTTCCCTGTTAACAGAAAGTTGTATTTTCTCCTGCAAGTATTAAGTTTATTCCTGCCAATTAGGAGAAGACAATTACTAAAATGAAGGGGAAAGCGTTATAAATGGACCTAATCTATTTTAGTTCTCTTGTTTCAGCGACTTGTGTTCTTACGGGAATAAAGCAAGAAAAATTATTTAAAAAAATAAACCACAGGGCTCTCGGCTTCCTCTGTGCCTGTGGCTTTGGCTTCCACTGCTGTAGCTGATGACTCAGGAAGTCACCTAAGATTGGGCAGATGACACCTCTCCCAGGCAGTCCTCCCTCAGGGTCACTGGTAGAATGGGTACATTCTAAAGAACATAGAGAAGGCTTCTTCATTTTCACCCTTGTCTAGAGGAACAATGTATATACACTTGGTAAAATTTTGGCTCTTGTTTTTGTGTTTTTCTGACTGTTGTTTTTTTCTGACTCAAGAGACCAGGCAAGATGAGCTGCTTTGCAAATGCAGTGACTCTCGGGTGAGAATGATGACATCTTCTGTGAGGACATGAGATGTGGTCAACGCCCCCGCCACACACACATCCCATTAACCCAAAGGAAAAACCTTCCCTGCCTCCCGTCCACTAGCTTTGCACTGTTTGAGCAGACGGTCCTGGGTTCAAACCCACTCTGGCCCCTGCATGGGTGACGGTGGGTGGGGGAGGCAGATCCTGGCAAGGAGCTTAACTTCCTAGAAACTCTGACCACAATGACCTCTGTCCCCACAAAATCCCTGCACTGGCTGTCACGGTTGGTCTTCCTACTAGGGCACTGAACTCTCAGTTCTCAGTCTTTGCTGTCATTCGGAGAGTTCTTAGGGCCTGAAAAGACCAACACCTTCATGACTGAGGAGAACAGTGAGTCCAGTGTTTGATCAGAGAAGCAACTATGCGACTTGGGGTAAGGTCTGTGGGTACAGTACAGGCTGGGAAAGCTGACCTGGATTTTTGTCTGTGGGCCGGAAGCATTCACACTTGCATTGCTTGCCCCAGTTGCCCAGTTTGACCTGAAATCTGTGCTTCTGGATGATTCTGGAAGTGAATGATTTAAAAAGTCTAACAGGAGGCCCTTCGTTGGAGGAATGTGACTCACATGGGAAAATGGCCTGGAGTTCAGAGGCTTTTTTGGGGGTGAACCTGAGTGACAGCTGCTTTACAGTGTTTGTCCTCAAAGAGAGGGGTTCACAATTACCTCACCTGTTAAATTAGTCAGTAACACCTTCCTTACAAGACTATTGTTACACATGGAAAACAGAAATTTCAGTCCTGGCACATGGTACTTGTCCAGCAAATAGTAGCTATCAAAAAAAAAAAAAAAAGAGAGAGAGAGAGAAGGGGGGTGCTCAGCCACTGAGGAGTGGGCTGAGGGAGGCGCACGCAGGAACAGGCCACAGATGTGAAGTAGAGCCAGTGGGACCTTTCTGGGCAGGAGAGGCCTGCTGGCTTTGCACTCCAGCTGGCCTTTCCTGGTGAGGGAAGGGGAGGCACTGACCTACCTGATCTCACGAAATCCTCTCCAAAACCCTCTGAGGACACAGATTCCTACAGGTGACAGAACCTGCCCATTGGTAGCACAGCAATGTGTGTGTTTCCACCAGAGACATGCTGTCTCTCCATGTTACCTTCCCTCATCCCCCAGGATAAAGCCAACTTCCCAGCTTGCCACCATCTACCCAGTGTTTTCTACTTAATGGTAGGACACTTAGCAGATGGCTAGTTTGATGTAATTTTACCATAAAAATCACCACGTTTCACCAGTTGTTACCTAATGTGGCAATGAGATTTTAAAATAATTCCATGCATTTCCTGAAAAACTCATCCATCAGGAAATATCACCTTGGTCTTATCATGAAATACTTGTTCCTGGAAACCTTGTATCAAAATAATCTTTAAGTTTTTCTGTCAGGCATGTGGGCTTGTGTAAGGAGTCGTCAACAGGAAAAAAATTAAACAGCTCACAATCCCATCCTGGTGGGATTTAAAGTACCATTATATCAAATACCATGTGTTATGTAAAAACACTTTAAAGGCTGCATTGTTTCCCCATCTCAGTCAGTCCATTGTGCCCAAAAAACTTTTAGGGCATAAAATATGATCACCGTGTCTTCAAAATCTTGATAATAAAGATTATATATATATTTTTAAGTCTTAAAGCTTCCAATTTTAGGTTCCTGTGAAGCTAGTGGCTTGTTCATACTCAGAGCACTGTTTTGTCAGTAACATAACCACCATAGGAGGGACACTGAGAAGGATGAGGCCATAGCCCTGTCCAGTGTGAGTGGCTCCCAGGCAACTAAAGATAGAATTTGTGCATCATGGTGCTTTGCAGGTTTGGAGCTGGGCTCATGCCCTAATGAATGGAATTAGAAACTACCTGTTATTCTGTACCTTCCCAGTTCAATGCAGAGAACCATGGTGCTGTGAGAGCCAGAGAACTGTGGGATGGAGTGAGGGCAAGTCAGTCAACTATGGCTCGTGAGGGTCATCTCCCCAACATATGGCCCTAAAACATACAAAGTCACATCTGGTCCTGAGGCTGGGGACTCTGAAGCTGCACATCTCAGAGTACAAACATGGGTCTTTCACGTGTCACCATAGGCAGCAATAGCCTGTCAAACCTTCCCTTCCAGTATTTTAAGGTATTAAGGGGTACAGGGTTGGCTCAAAGTCCAGGAAATAGGCCAAATCATCTTCCTTGTCTTCTCTTCCTTCTCTTCGACATGGGAGAGCAGGTGTGGGTAGCTCACTGTCCTCAGACTCTGCTCATGGAGAAAGCAGGGACAGGTTCACCCTAGAGCAGAATTCCAGAGAGAAGAATTCTCTAGCCAGCCCTGAGTAAACCCCCAGCCCTGGGGCTTACTTACATTCAGCTATACCACAGTCCTTCCTCTGCCTTTCATCAGTGATGCTCTGGGAACCCACAACTACACATAAATTAGGTAAATATTCTTTCCCTTGTTTTTAGAGGGGGGCTTCTGGATGTCCAAATTGAAGTGACCACTGAGTGTATTTCAGATCAGCACAGAATCTGCAAGATGATGGTTCACAATGAAACCCTGAGATTTACTGGGAACAGCTTTTGACCAGGGCACAAGTGTAGCTCCAAGAATGCACAGGGCAGGTGGGTGGCTATAAAACATGGACTCTGGCCTTAATTTGTTTTTCAAGTGTCAGCATTACACATAGAACTCCAATTCTATCCAGCCCTCAGCAAGTCTTGTCTAAAGGGAAAAATGATCATTTATGTACAAGCACATTGTATGGGCTTAAAATGGTGGCACCATGAGCAGGGTAGCTTATACAGGAGAAGGAGCTCAAGTTTTCTACCTGTTTTCTAATGGGGAAGGGTGTTATCCATGATCAACTCCCCTGCCCTACTGAGGTCATAAACACCCCTCCTGCTTGTCAAACTTTCCCTGCTTCCCTGTTTACCTACATCACACCTCACATTCTAACCCTAGATCAACAAGATCTCATGGTCCTAAACTCAGATCTGAGAGTCTAGATGAAGTCATGTATGTTCACCACTCCCTTCTCCCTCCAGCCAAATGTCATGACAACAGAAAACAGATACAAAGGTATTTCCCTTGTTTGGAGATGGGATGCCCAGTCTGGTCATCTGCCCAGACAGGAAAAACCAGGTAAAGGGTTGATTGTAGCTGACCTGTAACCATGATGAAAAATGTTACCAACACTATATCTCCTGACAAAACAGGAATTTCTGCTCAAAGAATGAATACAAATACAGTCCAAGGACTGATGGTGAGCTCCCACTGTTTGGGTCTGGAACACCTCCTAGCTGCATGGACCACGGCCACACCCACCCATGGGAATCTTAACAGGGGCCACCAGAGTTCCCGACTGTCCTCTGCAGTGGGCGTAGACAAAGCTGTGAGGTGGTTCAGGCTGTCACTTGCCTTTATGGTTGTGCCGGGACCAATGTCATGCAGGGACATCTCTGGGGGGCTCCTGGGAAGACCATCATCCTCAGAACTCATGCCGGTGTCATCTCCTCGCTTGGCAGGAAGACCCCCTGGAGGAGGGGGTGGCCCCATTTTCACATTACACTGTATTTTTAACTAGATTGGAATAAAGAACATTTGCTCTTATTTCCATCAGCAACTTTTTATCAACAAATCTTCTTGCTCCAATTCATTCCTTCAGGAGGTACTTTCAACACCTCTGCCTGGTGTAGCCCGGTGTAGCAGATGGAAGCACAAGAGTGTCTGCTACTAGCTCTCTTGCTCTCATCTTGAAAATGAGTGCTTATAACTAGGCATGAATCAAGATCCAATTGTAATTAACTTGGTGTGTCTGGAACGTAAATATACTTTAAGATACGTTAAATAAACCAAGCAGAAATAATTTTAAAACTTATTGATACATCTTTGACATACATACCAAGTGTCACTGCCAAGGAAAACTTTACCTGTAGGGCTTTAATCCGGTCACACACATTTTCTTGGGAAAACACCCGCACAGGTCGAGTAGGATCCTGTCCAGACTCAGGAATGAAAATACTGTCATGTGACAGGGCCCGGCTGCCCAGCGCACCCCTCGACTCCCTAGGATAAAAGAGGCACTGTGAAACTCTGTTCTCCTCCATCTCTCCCTCGGGGTGCTCAGGATGAACAAGGGGGTTGGGGCTAACGGCACATCATACAATAAGCCTTCGGTTACATTTCTTTTTTAACAGCTTCTGACTCCAGTTTATCCCAACCCTGTCAAATACCACAGTCAACTATTAAAAGCATTGCAGAGATAGGAATTTTCCTAACAGATCTGAAGACTGTGTGAATTCTTTTCATTAATGGGAAAACCAGGGTCTGACGAGGTGTGAGGTCCATGACAGCAAGCCTGTAGAAAGGAAGGGCTGGCAGGGCTCCTCGGCTGGCTGGGGGGTTGCACAGAAGACTGGCATGGATGTCCAGGGAAGATGAAATCATTCCTTGTGGGCCAACATGCAGCCCCTCAGTGGGCTAGAGGCTGTTTTTGCACAGCAGGCTGAGGGCCTGTCTGACGGAGGCATCCTTGCAAGGTGGTCCAAAACACACATCCACAGGCTGGGTTTGAAATGAGAATTGCAAATCTGCTAAGCCATGCCCTCTTTTCATTACCTGATATGATCTGTGCAATCCAGCCTGTGTGCCTAGGTCCTGGAATACAGATGGTGGGCATTTCTGTCATCATCATCTCAGCCTCTGCCACAGCTCTGAGCTCAAGACTCCAATTCAGAACTGAACCCAAAGGACTCATTTCACAAAATGTCCTAAGAGGATGTGAGAGTTGGTTGTCAGATTTTCCTACTGGCAGTGACTGCCTGAACAATAGATGGAAGGAGATGATTGAGATCCGATGATGAAGGAAGGAAGGCCCGCCCCTACAGGCACTGGCCATCTTGTGCTCCACACTCCCCCACCTCCAGGCTGCCCCAGGCATCCTGTCCTCTGTGAGGCATTGAGCACTCTTAGGGGTGGTCCTGCTCCACTGCAGATCACATTGTGTTGGTTAATGATGCTTTCCAACTGCTTTCTAGCCCACAGTTGTGAGTCTGCAAGTGGGGAACCTATGGCTCCCAGAAGGGTGTGTCCTTACACTTCTCGGAAGGCATCAGGCCAAGTGAAAGAACTAGATGGGCCCTTCCTGCCAATGGCAGCTCTTGTCACAAAGATCACAGGCACACCTGGGTTTCCTTCCTACAGTAGGGTAGCCCATGGCCATGCCCACTGGAAGTCATAACCACTGCCTGAACACCTCCACTCTGGGGGTGTAAGTAGGAGTTGAGACAGCATAAAAAGGCCTCTGCCTTTTCAACGATACACTGGCAAAAACACAAAATGTCATACGTTCAAGGCCATTTGCTACATTTATAGAAGCAAAACACTATCATCAACCCAATGACCTTCAGTAGGTATCTGTATAAACATGGAAACTTTGCAGCTGACCAAGTAGGTAAGGGGGAGCTCTGTACACAGGCAGCACCAGACTGCACTAAGTGAAAAATACAGCAGAGTGCAGAACAACATGTCAGCTCTAAGTGGGGAAGGGGTGTATGACTATAGGTGAACATATGTGAATAGATGTGTTGTTTGTGCATATTTTAAGAAATAAAAATAGAGAGATAAGTAATAAATGAATAAAAATAGTTATCTTTAGGGGGAAGGACAAAACAAGATTGGGAGACAGGGTTCCCAGGTACTTACTTGTACATTTACAATTTTGTCTTTGAAACTATGTAAACATTTTATGTAGTTAAAAGACAAAATCAAACAAAAAGGGAAATAAGATAATCTCTAAAACTAGAAAACAAATGGAAACAAAGAAGCCTAATTTTATATCATATTGTTGGCATAACTGTACAGAGAAAAGAATGAGTTTAAGTGATTTTAATTCAACATCCAAGTGGCTTTTGACTCTACATTCATAATAGGATAAATTCCAAGAACAACAACAACAAAAAAACAAAAACAAAAATCAAAAATAAGAAATTGTACTCAGTTTTATTGGTAGCAATATTGATTTTTAAAAACATTTTTAAAGTTTATTTATTTATTTGTTTTTGAGCAGAGAGAGAGAGCAGAGAGATTGGGAGACAGAGAATCCCAAGCAAGCTCTGCACTGCAGAGCCTGACACAGGGGCCCTAACCCACAAACTGTGGGATCATGATCTGAGCCAAAATCTAGAGTCAGTCATCCAACTGACTGAGCCACCCAGGCGTCCCAGTAATATTGATTTTTAAAAAGAGTAGAGGACAATCCTTATGGAGTGTAACCTATACTCTAACCTATAACCTAAGGCGGGGTAATGAAATTATTATTAGTATACTGTACAATAAAGAAAATGAACAATTTTGTTAATATCACTAGGAACCAAGATTCCTAGTATAGAAAATAGTGAATTCAAATAATCAAAGTAAAAATTTTGTCTTATTAAACTTGAACTGGAAATACCAGTGAGTTAGTGATTTATTTTTCTCTTAAAACATGTTTCCTAATATACCTACTGAAGAAGTCTAGAAGCAATGACAGCCAACTAGAAATCATCACCCCTAGCAGCCAGAATGGTCTCTAAAGACCATTTCACACCAAAAAGAACCATGTGAAGAGATGTCTGATACTAGGTCTAGGATAGGAAACGCACAAAATAAACCTGGGATTTCTCATTGTACAGGAAAGCAGGGGAGATTCAAAGACAAATGGGGTCATGTCAAAAAAAACCCAGGAACTAATTTGAAGTGACTTCCAAAGTGCAAGATGAAACACTATGAGCATAAAAATGAATAAAGACTGTCATGGTTTAAAGCAAATCAAATATATAAAAATCCATGCACTCACAATGATGTAAAAAAAAAACAGAAAAGATAAAAAACAAAACTCATTGGTCAGTGTTCGAAGTTAGGGTACCAGCTCGGGTACCAGGTCATTACTCTGAAGGTAGATTGGTAAAAGGAGAACGAGGCATTATTCTGCCTTTCCTGGAAAAACTGCATGTCAGAGAAACCAAGGAATTTATGAAGGAAAGGTCTCCTTCATGAAAAAAATTCCAGCTAATACATGCAGAATGCATGACAGGATTAGAAAAAACACCATTGTGCAATAAAAGAATGGATCTAGGCAATGACCATAAGCAGGTGTTAAAATCACTATATGAAGGTTTGTAGCTATCACACTGAGAGAGACCCCCTGAACCCACTGCTCAGTCTTCGTGTCATGAGAAGTGGGGCAACCGGAGAGTATGTGCTTCATGAGGTGATGTGACAGTAAGTATCCAGTACCACTTTGAACCTAAATCTAATTAAATATCTAGATCCATCTAACATTTTGCAAGAGATTCAGAGACTATAAAAATGAGTTCAATCATACCAAGAGAAAGCAAATCCAGAATGTGGGATATTGGCCAGAGAAAATTACCCTGCTTCTCCATCAGATCAATGACATGAAACAAAGCAGGGTGGCGGGGGAGGAAGAGGGAAAATCATTACAGATTAAGAGGCTTAGAAAGCTTAACAACACAGACACAATAAATGGGTGTCAGCGTTTTGAAACCACAGGGTCCCATGTGGTTTGCCAGCATTAATGTATGTTGGCAAATGGAACTCTTTTGCCCATGGTGATGGAAGAGAAATTGCTGTAGAGTCTAGACGGCACACACACACAGACTCTCAAAGGGGCTAAAGACTCCCCCTAAGATTTTGTCCCTTACATAGTCAATTAATTTATAACAAAGCAGCCAAGAATATACAATGAAAAAAGGATAGTCTTTTCAATAAATGGTGCTGGGAAAACTGGATAGCCACAAGCAAAAGAATGAAATTGAACATGCAATTTCAGTTTCAGTATTTTTTCATTCTACCCCATAAAAAAATAAAAATGGATTAAAGACTTGCACATAAGACACGAAATCATAAAACTCCTAGAAGAGTTACCACATAGATAGTAAGTGACCTTGACATTGGTGTTGGCAATAACTTCTTGAATTTGACACCAAAAGCAAAGGCAACAAAAGCAAAAATAAACAAGTGAGACTACATCAAATTTAAAAGTTTCTGCACAGCAAAGGAAACTATCAACAAAATGAAAAGACAACCTACAGAATGGGAGAAAATATTTACAAATAATATATCTGATAAGAGATTAATATCCAAAATATAAAAAGAGCTCATACAACTCAATAGCAAGAAAAACCAACAACAATCCAATTCAAGAGGATTTAATTGTTTTACCAAGAGGAGTCAAACAGACATTTTTCCAAAGAAGACATATAAATGGCCAACAGACGCATGAAAAGATGCCCAACATCACTAATCATTGAGGAAATGCAAATATCAGGCCCGTTAGAATGGCCATCACCAAAATGATAAGAGATAAATGTTGGCAAGAATGTGGAGAAAAGGGATCCCATCTGCACTGTTGGCGGGAATAGAAGTTGGTGCAGTCACCATGGAGAACAGCATGGAGGCCCCTCAAAAAATTAAAAATAGAACTACCACAGGATCCAGCAAGTCCACTGCTGGGTATTACCCAAAGGAAATGAAAATAGGATCTTGAAGAGATATCTGCATTCCTATGTTCACTGCAGCATTATTCACAATAGCAAAAATATGGAAACAACCCACGTGTCCATTAACAGATGAATGGAGAAAGAAGATGTAGTTTGCATGTGTGTGTCTACATATATGTACCTGGGATATTAGTTAGTCATGAGGAAGAAGGACATCTTGTGGTTTGTGACAACATGATGAACACTGAGGGCATTATGCTAAGTGAAACAAGCAAGACAGAAAAAGACAAATACTGTATGATCTCACTTATGTAAAATCTAAAAAAGTCAGACTCATAAGAACACATAGTGGATGGTGGTTACCAGGGGCTGTAGGCTGGGGGAAATGGTACACACTTCCAGTTATAAGACAAAGAAGTTAGGGAGATCTACAGCACAGTTTGTATAGTACAGTTATAGATAATACTATTGTATTATATACTTGAAATTATTAAGAGAGTAGATCTTAGATGGTCCCACCTCAATAAATAAGTAGTAATTAAGTGATGTGATGCAGGTATTAGCTCTACAGTGGTAGTCATTTTTTAATATGCTTGTGTATTAAATCAACACATTATCCACCTTAAACTTCCACAATGTTATACATCTATTATTTTTCAATGAAGTTGGGGGGAAAACAGATCTTGTCTCATCCTCTGTGCTGTTCTCTAAAAACACTGTACTTCCCGGGATTCATCAGACCCCACCCCTAAGCCTCCTATCCTAGCATCACTCCAGTGAACTTTGACCAGTAATTGAGGACCTGGCCCGTGGTGGGAACATAAAGATAGAAGGGAAACTGTCCCCATTTTCCATGGGCTCCAGTGACAAAGAGGAGACACACAAGTGGACAGGTCATTTCTCACACAAACACACGCACACGTATGCACACATGCACACACCATGCTCGCCTCTCTGCTGTGTTCCTGTTCCCTGGATGGAGCAGCCACTGTGTGTTCTGGTAAAGAGACAGGGTGTGGGTGGGGAAAGTATTATAATTTCCCTGGGGCTGGCCCAGTGAAGACATTTAATAATTAGCAATATGATCATGACAACATCTCGCAGCCCAAGGATATAGAGCACCCTGCCTAATAAAATGTGTGTACAGCCCTTCCTTGGTACTCTTCATAGATTGCTTTGTGGGTCCACTCTGCTCCTTGCTAGCACCAGGAAAAACAGAAACGAAAACAAAAACCCTGAAAGAAAAACCTTGAATCTTTCCTCTTCAGTCATTTGGTGCCACCAAGTGGTCAGTGTAATTTCTACTCCTCTAAAAACAGGCAAGGAACTCTTAAGAGTGTATTATGCTAAACAAAGTAAGTCAGTAGGAGAAAGACAAATATCATATGATTTCACTCGTATGTGGAATTTAAGAAACACAACAGATGAACATAGGGGAAGGGAAGGAAAAATAAGATAAAAACAGAGAGGGAGGCAAACCATAAAAGACTCTTAAATACAGAGAATAAACTGAGGGTTGCTGGAGGGGAGATAGGTGGGGGGTGCTAAATGGGGATGGATCTAAAGGAGGACACTTGTTGGCATGAGCACTGGGTGTTGTTATATGTAAGTGATGAATCACTAAATTCTGCTCCTGAAACCATTATTATACCATATGTTAACTAACTTGGATTTAAATAAAAAATTTTTTTAAAAGTTTGCATAGCAACAAATTTTTCCCCCTTTTATTCACAGAAATAACTGCTGGAAGCATGTGTATTATAACTATATTTTGATGAAGTACACGTTCTAAAAATAAGGATTTCTTCACTAGATTTCCCCAAATTTTCATACTTATTGGTTCTGTTATATCTAACAATACTTTTGGATGATTTGTCTAAGACTGAACAGCAAGAAACCTTCCCTCCGCCCCTCTCTCCTTCTAATGGAGAATTTTTAGGTCAAATAAAATAATGGTGTATATCCTAATCTTGCCACTTTCAGTTGCAGGACAATGGGCAAGTTCTCCAAAATGTCTCTAAAGCTTGGTTTGCTCATTTATAAAGTGGCAGATCTCACCTCCTATCCCATAGTGGTTGCAGACTTCTAATAAATACAGCACCTGGGACATAGCAGGTACCTGTTCATGTTTTCCCCTAACTTTCTCCATCCCTATGTAAGAAAAGACAGAAAATACAACCTCCTTGGAAGAGCTTCCAGTGGATTTCCCTTGGAAGGAAATATACTCACAAATCCAGTCAATCTTCAAGACCATGAGACAGAGTATTTGGGTCCTCCTATGCTCCCCCCAACCCCTGCTTATTGGGCCACATGTGCCTGAAGGATGGACAAGGCAACTTACTCGAGCTCATCCTCTGAGTCATAGCCCACTGGCCCTGACTCAATGGCAATGACCTCACTCTTCGCCTGACTTTGTTTCCAGGTGCTATTTCCTGTGGAAGATGGTGATTCCTTTCTCTTCTTCTTCCCGAAGAACTTCTTAAATGTTTTGAACTTGGACTTTTTCTTCCCTGTGCAGAAAGAACACATGTGAGTACTTATGAAGCATGCGCAAGGTGTGTACCAGAAAAGGGCAGAGAGCAATATTTCTGTCTGTGCATCAATTATGCACTCCTGGAAAGTTCTTTTACCACACAGAAGTACAGGAACTACACAGAGTGCCATTTTTGCACACCTGAAAACAATCCTGATTTGTTTATTTTGGACATTTCATAAGAGAGCCAAGAAAGCTCTGGAGCATGATCACAGAATCAAACCACAAGCAATCATTCTCTCATTTGAAACCAGGTTTCTTTCTTTCTTTCTTTTTAAACAGATCTTTCACCTTCTTGGTTAAATTTATTCCTAAAGAGTATTGTTTTTTTAATGCTTTTTATTGTAGAGAGAGAGAGCAAGAGTACAAGGGAGGAAGAGGAGCCGAGGAAGGGAGAGAATCTTAAGCAAGCTCCATGCTCAAGCATGGAGCCTGACGTGAGGCTCAATCCCACAACCCTGGGATCATGACCTGAGCTGAAATCAAGAGCTGGACATTCAACCAACTAAGCCCAAGTGCCCCTAGTTTATTATTTTTGATGCAACCACTCATTTCTTATCACCACACAGTTGTTTTGCCCATTCTTGAATTCATATAACACATACTGTATTGCATGAGTGGAATCATACATACAGTAGAATCATCTTGAATTCATATAACACATACTGTATTGCATGACTGGACTATACTCTTTGGTCTGGCTTCTTTCATTCCATGAACTGCTTCTGAATTTTGCATTGATGATACATGTGTTAGTATGCATTCTTACTTTAATTGTTGAATAATATTCCACTGTACAAACAAAGTAAGTTTTAATATCTAAATATACATAGCCAAAAGCAAAAAGTCCTGGTGAGGTAAAGGCCATGTGATAACTCACATTATTGTTTTCCAAATAGTCTTCAACTGCTTCATTTAGCATGAACATGCACACCAGGGACAGAGGAGGGCCAGCCTCCTCGTGCTCACTGGAGTGCCCGATGCCAGGAGGAGCTAACAACTCTGGGTGAAAAAAACATGTCAAACTGTGGTGGAAACACTGAGTCCCACTCTGCCACGTTTCCTGGATTGTTAGAATTTACAACACTTTGAAACATTTCGTTATCTCTTCTCTGATGCCTCCTTTAGTCTCAACCTCCTTTAGTCTCTATCATCTCCAGGATCCTGTGACATCACATTAGCAGCTCAGGGATCTTCATTCCTCTCCTTCTGAATATTTATGAGAACTAACAGCAGAAGGATGCAACATCAGAGATCACCAGGGTATTGTCTAACATATTCTGAACATTTGCTGAAACAACTTATTAGTTTTTTAAGTAAATAATTTTGTGAGCTGAACTCCTTTTTAACTGCCCCCCACCCCAGGATCTTTACATTTATATGAATGTCCCCTTAGGAAGTTTACATGATCTTGCCTTAATGTGCAGAATGACTTAGGATTACTCTAGCTGGGGTCCCTATATTACCTTAGGGGGAGCAGATCCCTGCCCAAAGGGAAATCAATCCTACATGTAGCCAAACTTTCTTAACTTCTAGTGGAAGTTTCCTTACCTTAATAATCACATAATGCTTATGTTGTTAACTGATGGTTCTCAATGACAGTTTATGATTTGGAAAGACTCTTAAGAGTTTTCTGCATTTGCTAGGATACCATCTGACCTTTGCCTAGCTGATAAACAGGTGTGCATCCATGAAGGTCTGAATACACAGTGCAGCTTTATTACCCTATGCAGTCAAACATGGTATTTCTGGGTTAAAAATGAGTGGCTACAAAGATCCAAAAGGTAACACTCTTGTCTGAATTGCAGTGGTTGGTTAGTCAGCCATCCAACTGGGGCCTATTCGTGTTAGGTTTGTTCACTGCTAGGCTGTTAAATTCAGTTTCTCTAGTGGGTTATAGGAACTATTTGGATTTTCTACTTCTCGAATCTGTTTTATGAGGCTACGTTTTTCTAGGAATTTGCCTATTTTTTCTAAATTTTCAACTTCACTATATTGGCATATAGTTATTAATAATATCCTTATATTGTTTTAGCATCCACACCACCTGATATAAAACCCCCTTCCTCAGCTCTGGTATTAATTATTTGTGCCTCATTTTTCCTTGATGAGTTCACCAGAGGTCAACTTTATTTGCCTTTAAAAAAAAGTTGGGGGGTGCCTGGGTGGCTCAGTCGGTTAAGCGGCCGACCTCGGCTCAGGTCATGATCTCGCGGTCCGGGAGTTCGAGCCCCGCGTCGGGCTCTGGGCTGATGGCTCAGAGCCTGGAGCCTGTTTCAGATTCTGTGTCTCCCTCTCTCTGACCCTCCCCCGTTCATGCTCTGTCTCTCTCTGTCTCAAAAATAAATAAACATTAAAAAAAAAAAAAGTTGGCTTTGTTAATTCTCTCTACTTCATGTTTATTTTTTGTTGTGACAATTTCTGTTCTTACTCTTTCCTTCCTCCTACTGTCTTCAGGTACTGTGCTTTCTTTTTAACTTCTTGAGATGAATACTTAGCTAATTAATTTTTAGGCTTTTTTGTTTTTATATTTAAGGCATTTATTTATTTTATTAAGGCATTTTATATTTAAGGCACATTAAGGCAATATATCTCCCCCTAAACCTCGTTTAGCTGCATCCACATGTTTTGATAGATTTTCATTGTTGTTTGGTTGAAATATTTTTTAATTTCCATTATAATACCTTCTTAGACCTAGAGGTTATTTAGGAAAGTAGATCTTAACTTCCAAACCCTTGGAGATTTTCTTACTATCTTTCTGTTATTGACTTCCAGCTTAAGTGCACTGTGGTCAGAGAATTGCTCTGTATTATTTGAAACCATTCAAATTTGTTGAGATTTGCTTCATGGCCTTTACCATAAATTGGTAAATGTTCCCAGTGTGCTTGAAAATCATGTATTTCTGCCAATGTTCTATACATGTCAATTAGGACAAGCCCTTTACTTTTTGTGTTGTCTAAATATGTTTCATCTTTATTAATTTTTTAAAATACATTTGTTCTATCAATTACTGATGGAAATGTATTAAAAATAATCCTCTCTTGGGGGTGCCTAGGTGGCTCAGTTGGTTAGGCATCTGACCCTTGATTTCGGCTCATGTCACAATTTCATAGTTGTGAGACTGAGCCCCACATCAGGCTCCACTCTGGGCTTGGAGCTTGCTTAAGATTCTCTCTGAACCTCTTCCCTCTGCCCCTCCTCCACTCATACTCTCTTTCAAAAAAAAACAAAACAAAACCCACTCTGATTGCAGATTTTATTTTTATTTAACTGTCAATTTCTTCTCCATAACTTTTAACATTACAATGAGTAGAGAAAGTTGCAATTATTATCTCTCTGGGAAACTGAACCTTTTGTGAAATGCCCTCTTTATCTTTAGTGATGCTTTTGGCCTTAAATTTTGTTTTGACTGCTATTAACACATCTATCCAGCTTCCTTTTTCCTAGTGTTTACAAGATACATGTTTTTCTATCCTTTTACTCTCAACTCTTCTGAATCTTTATGTATAGGACTTAGAGTTGTAGAAATCCAATCTGATGATCTTTAAGTCTAACTGGAACAATTAATATAATTAGCCTACTTATACTTACTGTAATTACTGATACGTTAATAAAAACAAGACTACATCTTATGTGTTTTTTTCTTACTCTCCTTTATTGCCATCCTTTGGATTAGCTGACTTTTAAAAGTTATTCTGTTCTTCCCACTATGAGTTTGTAAGCTGTCTTTAATCTCTGTTTTTTTCAGTAATTGCCCTAGAAATCATACTATGTATTCTATTATGGGACAAAACAAGGAACTTAGAATACTTTAATCCTATTTATATGTCCTATTTTGTTTTCACTTTTTAAAAAACTCCTCCATGTTCATTCAGATATATCTGTTTGTTTCTCAGTCTCCTTGCTCACCATTCCTTCTTGTATTCCAGACTTTCCATCTAGGACAATTTTCCTTTACAATCTGATTTGGAGAGGGTCTACTGATGACAAATTCAGTTTTTGCTTGTCTGAAAGCGCCTTATATTTCCTTCATTCCTAAAATATATTTTTCCTGGGTATAATTTTCTAGGTTGGCAGTTAGTTTTTCAAACTTATTCTTTCAATAATATTGAAAATATTATTTCACTGTTTTGTGGCTTCTGTTGTGTAGTTGAGAAGTCAGTCATCAGCTTTTTGCTTCTTTGAAGGTAATCTTTTTTTCTCACACTGATTTTTCATTTTGTCTTTGATTTTCTATAATTTCACTCTGCACGGATTTTCCTTTTACGTATCCTTCTTGGGGTTTATTCAGTTTCTTGAATCTGTGGATTGGGTCATCTTTTTCTAAATTCTAGAATATTCTCTGCTACTCTCTCCTCTCTTGAGACTGCTCAGATATACATTACATCCTTTCACTTATCTCTATGCCTCTTCTCTTCTATACCTCCCATCATTTTACCATTCTATTCTATATTCTGTATGCTTTTTAAAATTTTTTTAAGTAATCTCTACACCCTACAGGGGCTCAAACTCATAACCCTGAGATCAAGAGTTCCACATTCCACCCACTGAGCCATCCAGGCACCCCTTTTCTGTCTACTTTCTTATGATTAATCTATCCTGAGCTGATATAATCTGCTGTTAAACTCATCCAATAAATTTCTAATTGTAACAGTTATTCTTATTTCTCTTTTTAAATAGTTTTTTAAGTTTTATTTATTTTGAGAGACAGAGAGAGCAGAGGAGGGGCAGAGAGAGAGGGAAAGAGAGACTCTCAGGCAGGCTCCATGCTGTCAGCGCAGAGCCCAATGCAGTGCTCGAACTCACAAACTTTGAGATCACGACCTGAGTTGAAACCAAGAGTTAGATGCTTAACTGACTAAGCCACCCAGGCGCCCCTAGTTTTTCTTATTTCTAAAAAAATCCATTTGATGGTTTTCAAATCTGGCATATAATTTTTTAAGTTATTTTAAATATTACAAGTTAAATTTACTCTTTTTGGTACACATAGAGCTGCATAATGATCTCAAGATACAGAATTATACCATCACCCTTCAGGCTGCCCTTTTGTATCCAAACCCTTCCCCGGTCTTTAACCCCTGGAAATCACTGATATCTTCTCTGTTCCTATAGTTTTGCCTTTTCCTGAATGTCATATAGATTGATTCATACAGTATCTGTCCTTTTGATTCTGGCTTCTTTCACTCAGCACAACAATCCATGTAGTTACGTCAAGCAGTAATTTGTTCCTTATTACTACCGAGCCCTATTCCATTGTAGGGATGTACCACTTTATTTAAACATTGAGCAGTTGAAGGACATTTGGATTCATTGCAGTTTTTGGCAATTATGAATAAAGTTGGCACAGGTTTCTGTGTAAACGTAAGTGTTCATTTCTCTTAGGCAAATACCTAAGAGCAGGATCGCTGGGTCACAGACTAAGTGTATGTTTAATTTGATAAGAAACTGTTGAAATATTTTCAAAAGTGGCTGTACCATTTTGCATTCCCAACAGCAGTATGAGAGTTCCAGCTTCCCTGCATCCTCCAGCACTTGCTACTGTTGGATGTGTTGTTGTTTTGCTTTGCCATTCTAATAGTTGTACAACAGTATCTCATTGTAGTTTTAACTTGCATTACCTAATGGCTACAGATGTTGAGCACTTTTTCATGAGCTTATTTGGCATCTGTGTATCTTCTGGTAAAGCATCCTTTAAAACCTTTGCCTATTTTTTATTTGGGTTGTTTGTTTTCCTAGTGTTCAATTTTGAGAGTTCTAAATACAAGTCGCTTGTCAAGGGTGATTTATAAATATTTCCTTCCAGCCTTGGACTTGTCTTTTCATTTTCTTTTTTCTTTCTTTTTTTAATTTGAGAGAGAGTGTGTATATGAGCAGGGGAGAAGGGCAGAGGCAGAGGGAGATAGAGAATCTTAAGCAGGCTCCACGCTCAACATGGAGCCCAATGCAGGGCTCAATCCCACAACCCTGGGATTAGGACCTGAGTTGAAACCAAAAGTCAGACA